GGGGGGGGGGGGGGAGGAAAGGGTGCTGTGTGTTTTAACCCTTTACATTCCCGCCGTTTTGCGACTCGCGACTTTTTGCCTCCCCCAACCGGTTTCCCGGTGTCTTTGAAACTTTGCGGAGCATAAAGGAGTGGAAGAGATGTAAATAAATGTTCCGCGGTAATTGAAAAGTCAGCGGGCAGGCGAATTGGGGCCTGAAGGAGAGTGGAGCGTTTTCAGAAAGGAGAGCGTACGCGCGTTTTCTGAAAACGCTCCAGCCTTTAAGACTCGACTCACGCCCACCGATGATTTTTCATTTACCGACGGGAATTTGTATTTGCATCCCTCTTTGTGCTTGCTTGCGCGTCCTTCGATATTACTGTGTGTTAATATTAAAACAAGTTGCTCTCCGGCATGCGTTCGTCTGCAAGTCTTCCAAGTATTTTTCCAAACATTTTCGAGATTCCTCCTCTTGCAATTTTCGTTACAGATCTTTCCTGACGATCCGAGGCAGCGCTCGGACGACCTGCCGAGCGGCGCGTCGCGCGTAGCTTCGGTGTAATCCGATGTGACTTCGAGCCGTCTTGAATTCTCTTCGATGTGTACCGGTCGGAGCGTTGCCTAGATGCCTCGGATGATTCCAACGTTGGCCCAAGTGGAGGACGTTGCGACGCGTCGACGCGACGTCGCACTGATCTCTCAGCCGACTCCCATCAGGATAATCTCGTTGTAATCACGCCCGTTCTCCGTCGATTAGGATAACTACGACGTTGATTCGACGTACGCTGAATAGGCGTCTTTATGCAAGATGATGTCGGATGAGTGACACTGTTGAACCGGACAATGTCACTCCTGTGGCTTGTAAGACGGCCAAATGGATGGCGAACGAACGTCCGCTCCTGTGGATGACAGTAATTCGTCTCGAAAGTCCTCTGTTCCTCGTAAATGCAAGCTCGTGATTTAGTTCAGTCCGTATCGTGCGCAATTTCTGATATCAAGCATTTGACGTTGAAATTGGCATTCTAAAAAATATCTAATCATTTCTACGAGGTGCTGGCACCTCATTCAGATAAGAGAGTCACGAGAGTGTGGGAGAGGATATCGTACAGCCTATCGTGCGATAACACGAAACCTTTCGCTGCTCGCTTGAAGTTCCGTTCGACTTGAGTTACAGCCCTTATATGTTGTCATTGACGCGTGGATAGCTTTCCCTCCTGTCTCGAAACGAGCTTAATCTAGTGCCACGCTACACATATACTCGTCGCGCTAGTCTCACGAGTTTAGAAGTTCCCAAACAGCTTTTGGAGACTAGATAGAGCATATATCGAATGTGTTTGTCTTAATTCAAAGCATAACTTTGTATTAGTCAGCTTTAACTTCAAAAGTTTGCTTTTTGCCTCCTGCTCTTTCTTTTCTAAGTGCGATCTTTACAGTCGCGATACTTGCTTCACCGAGAGGGGGAGAGAAACATATATATTCTTATTGTAATATGCAAAATATATTTGTTATATTAATTTATACCGCAAATGAATAATAATGGAATTTATTCCCTTGGTAAACCGCCTCGAACCATCTCGTGCCGCTCATGCGAGAGAGAGAGAGAGAGAGAGAGAGAGAGAGAGAGAGAGAGAGAGAGAGA